CTTTATCGGAATTCTATATCTATTATACACACACACACACATATATATATATATATATATATATATATATATATGTGTGTGTGTGTGTGTGTGTGTGTGTGTGTGTGTGTGTGTGTGTGTGTGTGTGTGTTTGTGTGTAGTATCGAATATAAGGAAATTTGCCGATTCTGCTACCTTGGTTTCAACCTTTCGGTATCTTCAAGCGATTTCGGTCAATCAGTTTCCTATCGTTTTTTTTTTTTTAATAAAGATTTATGAACTCTATATATTTTTAAAATAAATAAATAAGCGCAGAATGTGAGGTGTGATAGAAGGTGAGGAGAAAGAGGAGAAGTTCTACATGTTAAATGTTTATCTTTTATATATGTATTGAGCACATTTAATACTACTGTTTCCTTGCCTAATTCGGCTCTGACCATTAACTTCTTTATATATATATATATATATATATATATATATATATATATATATATATATATATATATATATATATGCGTGTTCCTGCGTGAGATAGCGAGAGAGAAAGGCAAGGAGACAGAGGTGTATCAATAGGTACGAAATCCCCAACGTATGACGGTTAGAGAGAAGGGAGAGTGAGATAGTAAATTCAGTTGGTAAATTGTGTCATTTGGATGTGACGTAATTTGCAATTTATTCAATGTGTACGCACGGATGGACAGAATGGGAATGCTGGTCCCTTCAGCTGAGTTCACGTCTGCGTCCGTTTTAAATACGGATTAGATTACGGAGAGTTTTTAGATTATAGATAGATAGATAGATAGATAGATAGATAGATAGATAGATCTAAACAGGTTGAAATAGATAGACCGATAGATATGTCTTCTATGTGACGCGTCCCTTCGAGGGGTGGGATGATCATGACTCTCCACATTCCTAAATTTTGTAGCTCTTAGCAATGTTTGCCTTTTGCAATCTCTTAAGATATATAGATAAATCTGAACAGACTGATATATATATATATATATATATATATATATTATTTTAGGATATTAAATCAAAAACATTTTACCTGGATATATATATATATATATATATATATATATATATATATATTAAATAAAATAGACCACTTTAACTTTAAAGTGGTCTATTTTTATTTAAATTATTTGCTCTGAATTTACATTGAGCTCTCTGGATTTTATCCTCCTTAGGTTTACCCATACGGATTTTTATATATATATATATATATATATATATATATATATATAGAGAGAGAGAGAGAGAGAGAGATAGAGAGAGATAGAGATAGGGTTGAATATATATATATATATATATATATATATATATATATATTGAATCTATATATATATATATATATATATATATATATTGAATCTATATAGATAGATAGATAGATAGATAGATAGATAGATAGATAGATAGATAGATAGATTACAAGATATCGTTATACAGTACATGAATTTACATATGAGCGAATAGGAACATTTTCCACAATGAAACATGGTGGCCAGACTAGGCTACAAATCGGGAATTGATCTTCATTTGAAAGCCCAACGCCACTAAATTTTGAATTGACTTTCATGTCATTCATCGCCAGAGTGAACCCATCTTTCTCAAAATTTAGCACCCCACACCCACCCCCCGCTCCAAAGCAGATAAATTTCAAAATTAGTAGTGTTGGCCTTTCAAAAAGTAATCGAATTCTTCTCCAACTATATTTTCTGGAGTAGAGAAATGTTTGGAATGAAACTATGAAAAATTGGAGTAATTATGTAAGACTTGATTATAATACAAATTTGAACCCGCATTTAAGATCCCATTGCTGATCAAATATTGAGGATTTAAAAGCAGTGATAGCAATACCAGAATGGGTTAGAAATAACACTGTTAATTTTGCAATTTAATTTCTTCTCGATAGTAGCTCAGTTTAACCCAACTCATTTGTCGCAAGTCGTGAAAATTAAAAATTTGGTAACGTCGATCTTTCAAAAGTATTCCAATTTGGTAATTCTGCTATGAAGAGGGTTTTCTTATTTGAAAATTGAAAGTATTGGCTTTGGTCTGGGTTCAATCTCAGACTACACTCACCAATACACACTTATCTCCCTTACCAAGCATGCATACAATACTTACAGCGAGGAACACTGAAGCCTCAATGGAGATCAATCTCGAGAACAATTTCTTTTTTAAAATAGAGTTCAACCCAAGCAAGGTAGTAAAGCTACTAAGACACAATGGTGTACTGAATGTGGAAGAATTAGAAAACATATACATTACTATGGAGCGAAAACAATAGAAGACTAAAGAAGACAGTAGATAACGATTGACATTGCATTTCAAATTTTGATGATTAAAGTTAACTGGAAATCATGGAACCGGAAGAGATTTCAACAAACGAAAAGAATCTGTTGACATAGAACTTACGATTACATCTAACCAATAAAAGAAATTCTACAGAAATCTGTTGGATTCAATCAACTTGAAAAGTGCCAAATCCTGGTCGAATTCACCAAAATTGACTTTCAGCATAAGTACAGCAAATATCAAATGTTGATAAATATACGTATGAATGTGTGTGTGTGGTTCTACCAGTAGGATACTGAACACTGTATTAAAAAAAAAAAAAATAACCTGCATTTAATTAGGATTATATTTCAGCTAATAATTGGTGGCCACAATCTTAACAACATAAGATATGCATATGTGAGAGTGTTGATAGCAGACACGGAAAAGTAACTACAAGAACTCCATCAGAAGGTAATGAAGGAAAGCGAGAGGAAAGGACTAAGTGTCAATTGTAAGAAGACAGAATGCATAGTTGTTAGCAAAAGGAAGAGCCCAATACGCAATTGACAAATTTGAAATACCAAAATCAAACAAGTACAATTTAAATATCTGGGAAGGGTTTTAACAGAGGACGGAAAATGTTACACTAAAATCCGAAGGCGCACTGGGATAGGCAATAATGTAATATCAGTCCTCTTATATAGCAGATGTAGAAGTGACTCGAAGCAACAGAAATGTGGTTCTACAGAAGGATGCTGAGAATACCATGGACCGAACATGTGAGCAACGACGAAGTTCTAGAGACAACGGAAACAAAAAGTAAAATTATACTTAATATCAGGAACAGACAGGTGAAATTTCTAGGGCATATAATGAGGAAAGAGGGCTTGGGAAATTTGATACTCACTAGACAGATTGAAGGCAAAGAGGTACAGAAGAAGACAACGCATAACCTACCTGGCGAATTTGAGTGAATGGATAGCGGAACAGGGTTTAGGAGAGACAGCAAAAAGACAAAATTTATTGAGCTACGAATGACATGATATTGTGAAGAACCATGATCACTAACGTCCTGAAGGGACACGGCATATAAAAGAAGATATCCATTCCATACACACACACACACACACACACACACACACACACACACACACACACACACACACACACACTTGTCAGGAAAATCGGAAGTCAAAATGGCTACAACTGAAAAAAGATGAAAAAAAGAAAAAGAGAGAGGAGGTTAAGGAGTGAGTGTAAAGTGAAAAAAAAAAAAACAACGAAAAGGACAAACAACCACGACATTCGACACGCACGATCAGACAAATGCATGCACCCGCACGCACGCACGCACGCACCCGAACGTACACATATACTATGGACAAAAAATTGCATGGAGCACCCAGTCATAATTGATCTAGCAATACAATCTTTCTAACCACTACACCACATCGTGTTCTTTTTCCTTTTCTTATCAAGGTAGCATATATATATATATATATATATATATATATATTATCATTATCTTATTTCGTTTGTCCATCCTTTCCTTCGTTAGTTCGCACGACCGTTACGACTTGCCAATACCTCATAAATAATCGACTATTCCGTTTTGACCGCGTGGAAAGAGAGGAAGAAACACTACCTGGTTTCAGCAAGAAAATAAAAGAAAGAAGTGTTTAACGACTGTTTCAGTGAAATAGGGAACGTTGTTAATTTAAAGTCGTTCATTTGTAGCCTTTCTTAAAATAACGACTAGCATTCATATTTATGTTTGTTATTACAATATTTCGTTAAAGTTGTTAAGCTCAAATATTTAACGATGTTATCGGTGAATTTCTACGGAAACTCTACGCAGAAATCGCCAGGGGCTTAAGAATTAAGATTCATCAGAATATTAAAATAGGAAAACCGTGAAAATTTCACGGATTAAAACTAGTTATTATTATTATTATTATTATTTTAATCATTCACCCCAAGCAAGGTGATAATGCCACTAGGACGCAAGGGATTACTGGGAGTGAAAAAGAATGAGAAAACTTTAACGAGAAGAAGTTGGGAGAAAGGATAATAAAAGAACACTATTCAGGAAAATAGAAAATGGTAATTAGCGTTGCATTTAAATTTTTGAAGTTTCTACGTGGCAGGGAAGTAGGAAATCCGAAGGGAGTTCCACAGGCGGGAATGGCAAGAAAATAAATTCCTTTTATCAGAATAGAACATAGAGTTGCATCTACCTAGTTCAACAGTAAAAGGTGAGAGCTAGTTGCCAATCTAGTAGCACACTTAAATTCATGCGGTCGAGAGACCAAAGAGGAAAGTTTATATGATTATATGGATAAAAACATCTTTTTATCTGAAGATGCCTTTTCGAAAGATGCAACACGTAATATGAGATTTTTTCTTCATTCTGTTATTCAGTTACACACACACATACACACACACATACATATGCAGTCATCTATATGTTCTAATTACACACACACACACACACACACACACACACACATATATATATATATATATATATATATGTTGTAGTCTTTCAATGGATCTTTTAATCCGACATTATTTCTTATTAATATAAACGTCATTTTTAGTGAGTACACACGTTTGAGTTGATATCCCTGTTTTTGTTTTTTTTTTTCGGGGGTGGGGGGGGGTTAATCTTAAACAGAGAAATTAATGCCACCCAGCCTAGATCTAGAAGTGCCACTAAATTAAATGTACCACCCGACAGGAATCGAACCTGGAAAAGGGGAGATTGTGGGATTGCACCCATACAGATTCTGTCGGGTTCCTGTTGGGAGGAAGATTTTTCTTTAGTGGGACTTCTAAATCTCGGCCGGGAGACATTAATTTCAAGAAAATAAAAAATAAAATCACGGATATCCACTCAAGCATATGTAACCACTACAATGACATTTATAGTGATAATAAATAAACAAATAAATAAATAATGTGTGGGTGGGTGTACAGAGATAGTATGGACATAGAAACCAAATCTCTCCCTAGCCATTTCTAAATATATATATAGAGAGAGAGGGGGGTACCTCGAGGCGGTGTAATGGTTAACAAACTTGTTTCGCTAGAACATTTACGACTGAGTAGTGAGTTTGATCCTCATGGGTGCCCCATACTTTCGGCCTTGTGCCACATCTAAGCAACGCTTGGAAAATCACTATATATAGAGAGAGAGCGACAGAGAGAGAGAGACAGACAGACAGACAGACAGACAGACAGACAAACAGACATACGTGGTTATGGTTATATCAATAATTCTGTAATCCTGTGACGTAAAAGTATTTCTTTTACACAGTAAATATTTTTATATCGAATATAAAAAAAATGTCATTACCAATGCACTTGATTCAGGGCCAATATTATGCGTTGAAAATTTCACATCAGAAGTCAATTCCTCTGTATCAGGCTACGAACTTGCTGATCCACGCGAGTTTCCATGCAGTTTATTAATAACCTGTCAATAAAATTCGAAACGAAACGCGAATGAAAGCAAATTCATATGCTTAGATATGTAAATTTTTAACATAGCCTGAATCCTTTCTTTTTTTAATTTCAAAGGTCAATAGATGATTAAAATTCACCGAACACATTATATCGTCGAAGATGAATTGGAAAATTGATGGTATTCGTTATACGGGTGCTGAGATTTCTTTTTTAGAGAGCAAGGTTTTGACGAGTAAACTAAGTCTTTTACATGTTCCCACATAAAAAGAAACAATTTAACGAAGACAAATCTGGGAAATCTTACCCGAATGTCGATTCAAATTTTTAAGATACATTTGCATAAGAAAAACCAAAACAAAAAGAAAACATTGCACCTAATAAAGATTATGATCGTGTTAACGGCATACAGATAACTGAATATGACAAATTTTAAACAAATTAGCTTTTAGTTGCATTTTTGTTCTTATTTTCCCTCCAGATATTTCACTTACACAGAAGAGAAATTTATTGATTTACTTGCGCAGAAAGACATTTTATTTTCAATCTAGGGGTTCCTAGCGCGTGATTTCGAGCATATAAAGAAATTGGCAAACTTAGACCTTTGTGCTCAGCAAAAAAAATATCTGTCAAAAGGACGGTTTTTCCTTTAACAACGCCATTATTTTAACGAGCTTCACTTTCTCGGCGATGTTTATTGTTTTAAAAACAATGATTTAAATTTTAATAAACATGATGAAAATGAATTTGTACATTTTCCTTATTCTTGAGAATTGACAACAAAAATATTAAACACTGTTTATTAGATCGTTTATTTACAAGAGTAATTTATATTTTCAACATTATATATTTTTATTGCAATGACCAATATTTATTATTTACCAATTTATAAAGAAATGAATATGAAAACAAATTTTTATTCATAAATTTATAAACATTTAACTTATTAATTTATATGAACCAAACTATAAGAAAATTATTATTTACCATTTTATAAAGTTTGAATCAATCTGTAATTAGCCTGATGTTTTGTCAACATTTAATAAACAATCTAATAAATAAAGTAATTTAAATTTTCGTATCAATTCTCAAGGTTATTATTACAGTTTTTTTTAAATTTGAATTTTTTTAAAACAATGAACATTGAGAAATATGTGAGAGTGGTTTAAAATAATATTTTTGTCATGATTGAAGTATGAATAAGAGTTTTTCTTCTTTTTTATTGTTTTTTTTTTTTTTGAGGGGACGACATTTATGTAAGTTTGACAAAAATTTATACTAAAAAAAAACGCAAAGGCCAAAATAGGAAAATTTGAACTTTTTTTTATGATCCCAAGAAAATGACATTTACCTTTTATTTATAATTGTTAATACCAGCTTTTTTTGTTTATTATCTATTGAAGAAAAAGGTCGTTTTAAATGATTTCAAATAAAGGGGATTTAATTAAAAAATTAAAAAAAAAATAATTCTCTCTGGTGCAATTAAGTGTAATAGTTATTCATTGAATTGTCTTCTCCCCAGGAATTCAAAATTTCTATCATATATGATTTTCAATAAATACAGTATAAAAATGTCCAATTAAATAAGTATTAGTTTTAATCATTTTCATTTTTTTATTTTACAGATATTTCAAATAGAAATGATAATTAAATTTTTTTGGCAATAAATTTAAATACTAAATGATTTTTAATAAAAAAAAACAGATGTCTTAAATAATTTCATTCATTTGTATTTGTGTCCCCATTATTACAAAAATCCAACCAGTTATTAATTTTTTTCATAGAATATCAAAAATGTTTTTGAACATTGTTTACAAAGCCAAATATTGACCTCAAAATTTTATGTAATATTTATAACTTTTTTTTTGTCTTTTGTCTGCCTTATGTGATGATGTTTGAGAAAAACATCCAGTAAAGACAAATATAACAAATAACAACCTTCAGTTCTTGGGAAGAAGCTGTTCCGAATGGAACAGAAATTTAATTACTGTTGAGAATATCCCAAGAACTTCGGGATGATTCTGTCTTTTGACATGCCACTATTTTGGTGGGGGCTTTGTTTGTAAAAATCTTTAAGTGGGGGACTATAGTTTGTAGGTGTCAAATCAATTTGTCTCTTTAGATAGAGATTCCTTTTATTTATTTTTTAAATATTGAATTCTCAAATTTTCAAAAACATAATGACATTTTTTTTCACTACATAATTTTCCATAGTTTTGACCAGAACACCACAATTTCTTCTTTGTCGCCAATCAACAACAGTCTTCGATACCGTTTGGGTAAAATTTGTTCTGTTCTGTTTGCAATGTGAAATTCAAATTCAACAAACTCTTGAATCTGGTTTTCTTTCCCATCAAAGAGTTTTGTTGCAATCGAAAAATTGTAATAATCGGTTGGTGTGTCAAAAGAACAGTTTTGGAATATCACGAATATTTTAAAACAGATTAAGCCAAAAAAAAATTTTTGTGTGTTTTAAAAATATATGATTTGCTTTTTGTAATAAAAAGGAAAACACATTTTTTAAATATACATTTTGTTTGTTCTTGAGAATTTAAAAAAAAAAGTAAACATATATTTATTAAATTGTTTAACTTTCAACGTATTGTCTAATTGCAGATTGATTCAACTGGTTTTATAAAATGGTAAATAATTTTTGATTATGTTTAGATTTTTAATAATTTTGTACATGTTTACAAATATTGTTTTCATTGGTTGTCAGCAAAATTTTAAGAAAATTTAAAATAAATTCATTTAAATTACCCTCCCCATTCCAAATAAATATATATATTTTTTTACTATCATTAAGACCAGCGGCCAGATTAGTAAATGAACACAAGGGCATAGTGTTATGAACTAATATTTGTTTTAATTTTATCTTTGTTTTAAAATTTTTTTTTAGTTTAATTTTAAAAAGATTTTCATAAGAGAAAATTGCAGGAATCAAAACTGGATTTTTTATATATTTTTGTTTAAAAAAAGTGGGAGAAAAAAAAAAATTTGATTTTCATCAAATTTTTATGCCATAAGATCTACCTCCTGATAGGTGTTTGTGAATATGCGGTATTTGCAGTATATGCAGGATTAATAGTCGAAATACTTGGTGAACAGATTTGATGTCATCTCAAAATTTGTAATGGATGAATGAGTTTATCAGTCTGAAAAATGAGGATTTAGGATTTTTTAATGAAAATTCCTCAAGAACGACAACAAATTCGGCCCTTTCAAAATGAATTTTGAGCCTTTTTTTTATTATAATTATAACAAAATAAACAATTGAACAGAACTGAGCTGAATTTGAATGTTAAAATTATTTATGTTAGCAAAAGGGAAAATCATGTGATTATTATCAATATGTTTTTAGACACAAAAATCACATAATATTTCAATTATCCATTTAATTCAATGTTTCCTAATTTAAATTATTTAAACATATTTTTTTTTACATATTTTAATTTAATTGAAAGAATGTGAGTAAAAATTGTGAGGTTTAAATCTACACCTTTTGGCACAAGAAGATCAATTTCCAGTTCAATCCACGGATGCATCTGGTTCATCTGATTTGTCATTTGTGAAAAATAACACTGATTTTCAAATTTTTCAAAAATAAAGAAATTAAAACAAATTTAAAAAATGTTTGTTAAAAAAAAAACAATTAGGAACAAAGATTTTTTATTTTTTACAACTGTTAATTCAAAATCTTTTTTTTTTTTGATTTTATTTTATTTTTTACTGAAGATGTGTTGGTATTGTCAAAACAAAAAAATTGTTTTATGAATAAAAAAAATGGGGATTTTTGGAACCCCAATAAATAGACTTGAAATAATTCTTGTTTTAAATTTCAGGGAAGCATCATATAAATGCATTCCATAACAGTTCAATTATTAGAATTTGTTGGATAAAAAATTGCATTACCAATTGGAATATGAAGTGAAATTCATCAAGTTGACTCATTCATTAACTTTATGGTTGGTTTATAGCTGTTGGGTGCAGACAAGTTGAACCAAAAAAAAATGATTTAAAAAATATTGATAGAAAATAAGAGCAAACAATTGAAAAACCAAACTATTTGCTTAAAACATTCTGTTATGGGATCTTATTGTTAAAAACGATGAATGATTTAAGGTCGCTTATACGTTTTCATAAAAAAAATGCTGAATTTTGAGGATTAGAATCCCATAGTCCCAATGTAAAGCAATACTCCATTTACATGAACATGAAATCTGACACTTGTAAAGATATAACATGGGACCAAACCATTTTTCTAACTTATTAGTTGATCATATGTAGTTCCGTTTGAGGTCTGTTTGAACTTGAGTCTCAAAAAACGTATCACATGGAATATTTTAAATTTAAAATAAAAACCGTTCATTACAGATTGAGAAATTTCAGGGTCTTAGGCTGCTCAAATAAAACATCCCTTTATTGTATTTTTTTTTGGATGAATATTAAAGCCAGTTCTCCTCCAGATGATCCGTAAAAGGGCAAGATCAAAGAGAGATCAAACAAAAAGGCTTTGGTCATCTAGATCTTTGATGGACATTAAATTCTATTCCAAATCATTTTTGGTTTAGTTTAGGTTATCCACTTTTTTCGCGGAAAAAAATAGCATAGTGTAATGAAAAAAGGCCACAAACTTATAAAAATAAAGTTTTATCGTCAAAATATTTTGTTATTATTAAGATGAAAGACCAAAATTTTTTTTAATTATTTTTGAAATTTTTTAATCCTTTCTAACACGTTCGAAATTTTGGTAAAAAATCTTCTTTTGTTTACGTCATCGCGGTGGCTAAAATAACATTGATTTTTTTTTTTTTTTTTTCCATTGAAAACACATTGATTTGGAAATTCTTGTAAAAAATCAAATAATTGTCCGATTTTAATGAAATTTTCAGGACTTATTCACAAATGAATGAAATTATTTTTTGAATTTTTTTTTTTTTTTTTAGAAAATTTTGGTAAAAAATTTTTTTTTTTTAAAAAATATGTTACCACCACTTACTTAATTTCATGAAATTTTGCACAAAACCTTTTTATTTCCTGAATTTTTTTTTTTTTTTTTTTTGTTAAAAGTAGGAGTCTTTGGAGATTGTAAATCATTTTTTTTTTTTTTTTTTTTTTCAAATTTGAGCTATTCTAACTGAAAATCTGCTCTGAATTGAAAAATAATGAATCCGATAAAACTATGACATTATTTAATTAGAAAAGCTTTTAATTGCTTTTGTAAATAAGTAATATTAAGGACATTATTGTCTGAAGAAATAAAAATTTTCTGATAAATAATGAATTTTTACAAGAATTTAAAAAAAATTTAATTATAATAATTTATAATAGTTTAAAATCGTGTAAAATTCTGTATTGGGCTATTTGCTGGA